GCCTTGCGCCGCCGCCGCCAGGAGCCGCCGCCCCGCCACCCCACGCCGCCCACCGCCACCGGAGCCCCGCCGGACCTCGCCGGAGCCTGAGCCGAGGTAGCCGCCCGCCATCCCGGTTTTCTAAGAAAAACCGATCCGGTTTTTTTAGAAACCCTAGGTTTGTTTTTTTAGATCGGTTTTATCGGTTCTTTTTTTTAGCGAGCGTTCGCTCGTTCGTTCATTTTAACGAACACGTTCACCGTTTAGTTTCAGATAACGAACGTTTGTTCGTTAATCTATTCGTCAGTTTTTCTTTTTCTTGGATTTTTCGCGATTATTTTTGATCGCGATTTCTGATACGATTTCCGTTTTAGTTTATATTTTCACTCGTTTATCGGAATCAGGCGATTCAAGCGCCTGGAGTTTCGTCTCGAAACCCTCTTTCCGTTTAACCAACTCAAACAAGTTTTTGCATCTGTAAAATTTGACTTAGATCCAGATTAGTAAACGAAGTTTGTTTCTTTCGCTGTTTGACTTTCGTTGTTTCGTTCGATTTGATTCTTTTTGCGAACCGGAGTTCTTAAGTTGAACTTTCTGGTTAGATTTCTTATTTGAGTTTTACCCGTGCATTAGATGAGTACTTATTGTATGCTTGTTTGTTTGCGATAGAGTACCCGGAGTGCGCCGCTTGCTACTTTGAATCTCTAGGTTTCACGGATCATCAGCAAGGCAAGTAACACTTTGATCATACATCTTTACTACCCAGTTTTTATTGCATTAGATCAATCCTCAAACAATTGCATGATTAGGATCTGATTAATATGTGGGTTTTGGGAAATAGATGAGGTAGAACCTATTACCTGTTTTATTATCAAACCCTTGGGAGTTACTTCTATGTTTGCTTATTATGCCATGCTATGCTAGTAGACGTGGATTGGGTGAGTGTATCCATGACAGATGTGATATTGATAAATTAATGGTTTATTTAAGGTGGCAACTTAAACACACATCTGGGTGGATTGAGGCACCTGGGTATTCCAACGATTGCCTGTTTTTCTTTATGGACCGCCACCCAGGCTCAAAGGGATCATGAGATTATTCATGCTAGAAACTTCTGTGTGCAGCCACAAGCTACTATGGGCTCTAACATAGTTGACTAAGTCGTGCGAACTCTTACAGTGGTAGACTAGCAGATGTAGGGGATGTAGGTTGGTACTGTCTACCCGATCGTAAGGTCCTAGCACTTCTGAAAGACTATGTCTCGGTCAGCCGTTTCTCAAACATCATGCAGTGCGAGAATCTCAACGGAGGAGATCGAGTCTTGTGGGGAAAAGTGCGCAAACCTCTGCAGAGTGTATAAACTAATCATGGTTAGCTGTGTCCCCGGTTATGGACATCTTGAGTATCTAGTACTTGAATTATCATGTGAATCTCATCATGTTATTTTAATTAATATTATTGGGTTTTAATGGTGATACTTAATTGGGATTGAGAGGATGTCTATCTTCTCAATGTTTAACAACCATCATGATAGTTAAATAAAATTTATTCCTTTGCAGTAGGGAAAAATTGGCTTTATGCAAAAACTATAACCATAGATCTTTCCACCGGCCATATATGCATGTAGTATAGCTTTATTCTTTCATTACTCTCTATGTGTTACATTACCAGCATATTCCATGTGCTGACCCGTTTTCGGGCTGCAACGTTCATATTGCAGACTTTTCAGACGACGAGTAAGGTGCCTTTAGTTCGTGGTTCTATATTTAGTGATGCCGTTGGAGTTGATGGACTCACTTATCTTCCAAGCCTTCTGCTGTTATCGTTATTAGATGGCCTTAAGCCATATTTATTGTAATAAGTTTTCTTTTGAGACATTCGATGTAATAAGTGTGTGATTGCTACTCTGTTATAAATTCTTCAAGTACTGTGCGTGTCAGCATTACTGATCCAGGGATGACACTAAAGCACAGAGATCAGACTGTTTGAGGTCTGGTCGCTACAACATACTCATGTGGGATCTAATTTTGAAGAGCATGCCGCGAGGGTTCCAACGGTGAAAGCGGATCTTAATTTCGATGTTTCATTCAAAAGTTATGTCTTTTTATTTAAAAGAAGTTGAACTCAAAAATAAATGCTTTCACACCTATTGGATGGGTGTTTCGTTGCATGTTGCTTTTTTATAGCAAATAAAACAGATTCTCTCCTAATTTTTTGGACGAGGACAAAAACTTACTAAAAGGGAAAGGATGCCACGAAGCGTTAGCGGGCAGCACGGACGAGACTTGCCTGCTCCCCCGTTGTGTGCCCATCCGTGCTCCCGTCTACGTGGCTTGATTTGATTGGAGCAAAATAAGGCTTGGCCCCACCCTCTTAAAATCAGGGGGGGATGATTAGATTAGAAAAAAAAGAAAAAAAGACAGCCGTAGGATTAAGTGGAAGCACGGATGGGAGCATGGGGAGGAAGCAGGCAAGCCGGATCCGTTGGGCACTCGCTAGACGCGTCAGAAAAAAAGCCATGGGATCGGAGTGGATGATAGACCTTAAAAACTAGTACAACACCTGTATAATTGCAGAGGAGCCGTTGTTGTCTGTTTTTAATGAACCGCATTGGAGTTGCCCTAATTGGGTAACCCCTTATCCCCCACCACCGTCCGATATAGAAAGCACGGCAACCGATGTATGGTCTGACGCGTCGCTAGACCCATGGTGGAGTCCTCCAAGCAAACTCGAACACAATAAGGTCTCACGACCAAGACGCGCAGACCGAGCACGCACTTGAAAGCGTAACCTTCCCACCACCGCCCGATCTAAAATCACCGCGCCCGATCTACGGGGTGACGCGTCGCCGGACCCATCGCAGACTCCTCCAGCCAAACCAACTTCTCATCCGGCAAGCTATATAATTCATGGAGAAGGCCTCAAATCAAAAGCAAACAGGACCAAGCTACGACAGCCGTCTCCCGACGAAATCGCGCCGACACCCAAACGATCCCGGTTCGCTTCCCTAGCTGCCTCGCCGCTCGCCGCCGGGATGTTTCTCGTGGATTGGTTCTTCGACGCTCTGGCGTATCTGGGGATGTGGCAGAAGGATGCCAAGATCCTCTTCCTAGGCCTCGACAACGCCGGCAAGACCACCCTCCTCCAGATGCTCAAGGACGAGGTCGGTGTACATACGATTCCGATCGATCTTGATCTCGTGGGGTTCCTGTTGATCTGCTGACTTTGTTCTTGTGTTACGCCTGCCGGTTGGTTATACAGAGACTGGCGCAGCACCAGCCGACGCAGCATCCGACGTCCGAGGAGCTGAGCATCGGGAAGATCAGGTTCAAGGCGTTCGACCTCGGCGGTCACGCGCTCGCGCGCCGTGTCTGGAAGGACTACTTCGCCAAGGTTTGCTCTTATTCCTCTGTTTCAGTCACGGAGCATACATGCATATCCTCTGTTTCCTACGTACGAATATCGTGAAGATCGAGGATCGAATATTTTGCCTAATTCATCTTAATTTGAACAGAGCTTCAAGATCATGTCAGTAGTAACCTAGTTTGCTCTGTTTATCTTAGTTTGAACCCTTGGGATGGCATGTTTGCTCCAAAAAATACATCATATCCGTGCTCAAAACAAGTTTATCTTCTTTCATCTTTCATCGAGATCTTATCTTGCTTGCAGGTCGACGCCGTCGTGTACCTAGTGGACGCTGCCGATCGGGAGCGGTTCAACGAGACGAAGCAGGAGCTGGACTCGCTCCTCTCGGCCGAGGCGCTTTTCGGCGTGCCGTTCCTCGTGCTGGGCAACAAGATCGACATCGCAAACGCATTATCTGAGCACGAATTACGCTACTACCTCGGGCTGGAGTACTACACCACCGGCAAGGGCAACGTCGATCTCTCCCACAACGGCATGCGGCCCCTAGAGATCTTCATGTGCAGCGTGGTCCGGAAGATGGGCTACGGCGAGGGCTTCAGATGGATGTCCCAGTACATCAAATAGAGGGGGCTGAGGGAAAGGCATCTCTGTTTTTTTTTTTTTTTTGACGAACTAGCAGGAGCTCTGCTTTGCATTAAGTAGAGAAACGGGGTTACACTGTCCAGAACACTAGATACAGACATACATACAGTGGTGGACCTCAAAGAAAAATAAAAATATAAAGAAAAGCCGAAACGCTACAGTTTGTTTGCTACCAGGAACAAAACAAAATCAGTTCTGGCCTTGCTTGGTTGCCACCACATCAGTTCTGTTTTTCTTGGGACGCTACGTATGTAGAGTATACATTGCAGTTTCCATGGCCATTCATCTTGATTGCTTAGTGGCTAGTTTGGCTTAGTCTTTTTGTCAGTCTGCTATATTCTTCAAGCCTAGATCCGACCTATACTTTTGACTCCTGCTTTGGTTAAATTTCGTGAGCTTTGATATATTTTCGCATATTCTGAAAATTTCCCAATGATGTTAAAATATTTGTGTGGGTAGGCGCACATGTGGTGGTCAGAGTAGGCAATATGTGTCGGTAATCGTTTTAACCCTATACTCAGCTAAAGTTGTGATTTCTTGTTAGACTGGTGAAAATTAAACCCATTGGAGAGGTGCTCCATCCAATTATATGTGATTCTACAATCGACCATCATTTGACATATAATCAAATTATACATTATGTCGATACTTAAATGTATTTCGGTAGAGATATTCCGATAGAGTATTATCTTGATGCTAACAAACCAATGATATTAATTGTTTTAGCGGATCTTTGTTTGAAATCATGGTCTTTCATAACAATCTCCAGCTTTCCCACTTCTATAGTTCAACACACTATAGTGGTGTTTTTCTATTGATATCTCTAGATATTTCCACACCGCCACATCTTAACCTATGTGCATGTGTGTGTCTTATTTTTTTGTGGTGCATGTCTATGTCATTTGAAAATGGATGCAAGTAAAATGTATTTATGCATGTATGTTTGTTAGAAAATTCTAAAACACCCTCTTTCAACACACTTGTCATAATTGACTCTTTTAATTTTGCCCATGTTACTTTGCTATGACTCACATCTAATAGCTTAAATGAACAACAATGTTTTCGTTTCCAAATTTAAATATTGCAGACGATATTGCTCTGCTTCCTTTGTATGCCGCATCGATCACACACGTAGCACACTAGGATATGTCTACCTACATTGATGTATCTCTATCCTACATATGTCAACATACACATGCATGTTGACGAATCGAAATAATCCATGCAAGTTGATAAATCGAAGGCATTCTATGTTGACAGTAGACATGCTTGACTGCATATTGCATGATGAGAATTGAAATCAACCTCTCCATTTTATTTAAGCTTTTATTATATCAATAATCATTTTATGTTTAATTTCACATGTGATTCAAACGACTTATTTTTCCATGTAGAAAATAAAATTTGTACTCTTTGACCTAATAAAATAGATTTTTTAATAACATGATCACCTATGGTTAATGTTTCAAATCATAACCTTTGGTAGTCTTCCTAAAGTACACATGAAGATATTTATTTCAATTTTTTATGGAAAATAATTGTGTACTCGATGGATCTAATGACTTAGTCCTTATCTAATATCATAGATCAACTACTAGTAAAATTACAACTACCAATACTTTTTTTGAAAATGATATTTGGTACGCCTATGGATTTCTCGGCTCTTCCCCGTGCTTGACTTAGTTTCCTCTCCCATTTTAGGGTGTTGCTTTCGTGTTATGTCTTCGACTAGACCATGTCCCGCACCATGTCCCAACTACGTTCCTAAGCACCTCCCACATATGTGACCCCTACTAGCCATGGGCACTACATTGCATATATACATGTGTGTGGTAGGGCCTGATCACATGGAATTTTGTGGGATCTACATGCTAGTGGTGGTCGAGTGAACTATTATTATTTTTCTATGTTATTATGTTTTAGTGTTTTCTACTTTCAGCTTTACCTTTTTGAATTTTTGCTTATTCTAGAGATTGTCGGAAAGTTGGGAGCTTCCTTTTGGTAGTAGAAAGTTGCAATTCATCAAGGTAGAAGCTTCTTTATGGTAGTAGAAAGTTGTAACTCATGAAGTTGCAGGTTGCGTCACAAGTCGCTTTGTTCGGTTGGAAGCGGTGATGAACTAAGTTGAAACTTGACGCTTTTGTTGTTGGAAGTTGTGATTAAACAAGTTGCAAGTTGGTTTAGTGCCATCTGCTTGTTGCGATTGAAAGATGTGATTAACCAATTTATTTGTGTGATTGAAAGCTGAAAATAACCAATTTAAAAGTTGGTTTTGTTGATGAGTTGCGAGTAATCATGTTGAATGTTTGCTTTGTTTCCATTGAGAGTTGTGATTAGAGCTGAAATAGTAGGGATGGGGCGTGAGCATTGGCAACAAGAAAAGGGAGGCAATCTTGCTAGTGAACCAGAGGAGGGGGACATCCCTGGAAGCTGGAACCCGGTCAGTATTGTTCTTCATGGAGACAACTTGTGGCTCATATAGCCTCATGCCTAGGATAAAGAATGCCAAAACGCAAGCGCCCTGCCAGAGATAGCGACTTCATGTACGAGGTTCAACGCGTCCTTTTTACCCTATAATTTCCCGCGGCGTCACATCATGCACACTCTTTATGGAACCAGCTTGCTTTCACATCAGCTAAACAAGGTGTCCTGTGGACAATAAATATTGTCAGAAAAATAATAGTGATGATGTATGGCCGGCGCAGACCGAGCAACATCGATGGTGGAGTCGAAATTGCTAGCCCATAGAGGAATGATGACGTGTGTGCGGTTTGTGTGGGTTGTCAGGTCGGCCAAGTGCCTTGTTTTTCAGGCATGTTGTGATAATTTTTACCTGATTTTCTGTTCAACATGTAAAAGTTTTACGTGGTAAAATTTCGACAAAGACAGATGCTTCCAGTTTTCACTCATCTGCCCAGTATGCTGATATTTTACTTTTCTTTGTGGGGGTTCCAACACGCTGATGTGCGCAGCACATTCACACGAACAGCCTTGGCAACGTCAGCGTACCGCCGCCGTCCGGTCCGGTCCGGTTGCTTGCTGTCGCGTACAAACAAAATATAACCATGCCAAGCCCCGTGACTTCCCCTTCGATAGAACAACGTACAAACGCGTTTGGCAATATTTATTTTTGCTTCTAAACAATTCGACAGGATTGGCTTCCAAGTAGTCGCGTCGATCCGCCATTAGTTTACTCAAAACTCGTGCTATAAACCATGCTGCAAACATCAGCAGTTACCGTGCAGCTGCGACTCCACCAAGCCAATGGCTCAGCCTGAGGACAGGATCATCGCCGGCGTCTTCATCGGCATCGTGGCCTCCCTGCTCGTGTCCATCATCGTGTGCAGCCTGTGCCGGGGCCACCGCAACGGCGCCGCGGCGGCCGCCCGGGCGCGGCCACTGCCGGAGCGTGGTACAGTCACCACTACCGTGCGCGTCGACCAGCGGCAGCTTCGCCAGGCCTGCGCCGCCGGCGCGACGGCCGGTCTCCCGGCGTTCACGTACAGCCTGTCGGTGAAGCACAACGTGACGGGCGGAGGGGAGGAGGCGGCGACGTGCTCGGTGTGCCTCGGTGCGCTGCAGCTAGGAGACACGGTGCGGCTGCTGCCGGCGTGCCTGCACGTGTACCACGCGGAGTGCATCGACCCGTGGCTGGGCGCGCACTCGACGTGCCCGATCTGCCGCTCCGACACTGACCCGGCCACGGGCGTTGGCCGGCTACCACCTGCTTAGGCTTTTGCGTGGCGAGGGACGAGCATAGTACGTACTGCTTTACAGGTTCACACTGAATAGCTGTCACGGTGACGAGTGTAACATTGTTGCATTCATTTATTTGCTTCCTACGCATTTGAAAATTAAGTAAACTTTAGTATCTAAGCGACTGGGCAGAAGAAGGCAGGAATGTATAAATGATTTATCAATCTTGTTAAGTCTTAGTCGAGACTTTCGGTCGATGCTTTTTTTTTCGAGGGTATGCCAAAGGCGTATCTTAGCTTTATAGAAGGGAGAAAAATATGTACAAGAGATTACACATGTGCTAGTTAGAGGTCACAAGTCGACCCTAACCCACCCTCCACACCACTCCCTAATGCTACTCGACTACTCTATATCTATACGTCCTCCAAACGCTCCTGCTCTTGCCCAAGTCCTGAGATCATCAAGGATCAGGTCCACCGTATCCCATTCGTTCTTGATCAATCCGGTGCCAAAAGCCCTCGCGTTCCTTTGCTTCCATAGCGTCCAACAGATTAGCATCACGAAAGTGTCAAAGCCTTTCCGAGAATGCTTCTGTATTCGCTTTCTACCTTCTGACCACCACTGCACCAGCCTCGAGTTGTTGGATGGGCATAAGTCAGCCGTTAGACCCATCCTGGCGATGCAACGGAACCACACTTGCCGCGAGAAGACGCATTGCAGCAATATATGATCAACCGTGTCCTCCTCCTGATCACACATGTAGCATTGTGAGATTTGGTCCTGCAACCCATGTCTGGCTCTCCTGTCTGATGTCCAGAGACGATATTGCACCGCGAGCCACATGAAAATCTTGCACGCAAGAGGTGCCCAACACTTCCATATTGCTCCGAAGGAATGGAATCTAGTTCCTCCCTCACACAACATCTTGTACGCCGAGGATGCAGTATATACGCCCGATGCACTCCAGGCCCAGATGGGACGGTCCTCAATCTGATCATCCAGCTGGACCTCCATGAGTATCTCCCAAAGCCCGATGAACTGAGCGAGACCCTCCGTGCATAGGTCTCCTACAAGATCATCCATCCATGAATGCATGTGCATCGCCTCTCGCACGAGTCTCCTGTTTGCAACTTTCGTCCGCACCTTTGCCACCACCAATGGGGCAATCTCTTCGGTCGTTGCTATATCCATGAAATCTTACATTAAGATCCGTGTATTTTTTTTCAGTTTTTTTTCCTCTTGCATGTTATTTTACTTGACCGAGACTTAGTTAAATCTCAGTCGAC